CACATGGGATCCGAACCCTCAGCGGGAGCGCCACCGCGCTCCCAAGCGGCGTACTCTCCAGTGCGCCACCGGGCCGGCCCGAAAGCCACTAATTTAAGACCAAAAATAAACTGTTCAAATATAAAGTTTTTGCTTTATATAAAGATAATTATTTGTTTTTTATAACACTATTTTATTTTTTATAATTAAAAAATTTATAGTAACACTATTTTAAAAGGAATCAAAACATTAAATAATTCTCAGCATGACATTTGTATAAGTCAATAGCTAGGATTCAAATTGCAAGAAAAAAACATGATCATCTACATATCAGACCAAAAAAACCCTCAAAACAAAAACCTTTGACATTAGCCTTTTTGTTTTGCCACCTTGTGACACTGTGACCACACTGCCAGAAGCATAACTGCAGAATGAGGAGAGGTATGTCTCGAGGATTAATGAATGGTTTACATTCAGAATTATAATATGATGGCAGCAAACGCCACTTCAGAGACAGTCAGGGGCAGTGCCTTCTGACCACACACAGCATGCCCCAAACTACAAACAAACCCAACAGTTTACCAGAAGATAGGTACCAGCTGTTGCTCTGTTTCCTTCCAGAGAGGTGCTCCACGTGTCCCTTCTCTTCCTCCGGGTCATCAGTGCCTGTGCAGATGGCAAGATCCGCATTTACAATTTCCTCAATGGGAACTGTCTGAAGGTGATAAAAGCCAGTGGCAGAGGTGGTCCTGTGCTGTCCTTCTTTATTCAGGGCAACAGGTGGGTGGTAGGTGTGGAGGTCAGAACCATGAGCGATTCTGTTTGGGTGATTTTTTTTTTTCTCCTCTGGGACCCAAGCCCTGGACTTGCAGGCAGGAGGAGACAGTGGGCAGTGCTCCCGTCCAATTTTGGCTGTAGTGGAGTAATAGTCTTGTGGGGGGGCTAATTGGGCTTTGCACAGAACTTAGCAATCAGTTTATTTTGACTTAATCTGTTTTGGGCATTTGGGGAGATCATGCAACGAGTGCACTGTCGCTCTTCTGAAAGAACATCACAGTTCTGCCCACGTGCAGCCCCTGCTTGCTCTTCGATCGTGCACTCAGTTCCCTGACAGCCCCATCGGCTGCCTCTGATGCCCCACTAGGAGGGTGGGGGGTGGCAGTACAGGGATCCTGTGGGGAGAGCTGAGCAGGTGCATTACAGAAACTGGTACCATGACTGAAACTAATTGTTTATAGTACTTATTACTTGTATAGTACTTGTAGATGTGCTTGTTATATATGAATAGGGTAAGGGTGATATTATGTGAAAATAACCAGATAGAATTAATTTCTACCCCAGGTTCACTTTAAGACATCACTTAACCTCCCTGAACCATAATGCCTTCCTTTTAAGGAAATTTCATTAATCCTATTTACCATCTTAAAGGGGGAGGGGCTGGTAATAAGGCTCAATGAATTAACTCTTTTCAGTTATAAAGTCATAATGCTTTAAAAAAAAAAAAGAAATCAGCTCTGACCTTTTCTCATTCACAGCATCCAAAGAGGGATGGTTTCCCTTTGGCTTGAGTACAAATATGTCTGAAAGAGATTTCTTATTGGGATTATTCCCCAAATTCCATTCCAGTGTTTCCAGCCAAAATAAGTCACTTTCCCAGAGGGTTTATGCTAACAGTTAAGATCTTCAAATTCTGCTCCAGCCTTTTTGAGCAGAAAGGAACCTACACATAGTATTTCCATTTCTTTTTTGTAATTTTAGGAGATCTGGACACAGAGAGGGGAGAACATCTTGCTTTGTGTAAATGACAGAAACCAGTGGGTGGTGGGAGACAATGCTGGGGGAGGGGAACGGGAGGGCATGTTCAGAAGCTCTTTGTCTACAGGGCATAAAAGTGCGGATTAGAAAAGATAGAAATCATCTTGCTTTATAAAGTACAAATGATCTGTCTACATCTTAAGTATGTACAGAGACCCTGGAGTGAAAGTGTGCAGAGTGGGCTCTATGTGGAGGGTCAGCGGAGGACGGGAGGCCTCCACATTAGAGAGTTTTCCTCATTCCCATGGCAACAGTAGAAACATTGGGCTTGGAAGCCATGCTTTAAAGAAAAGGAATGAATTTCAAGACATCTGTGTGCAGAGTACCTACGCTTCTGCCTTGGGCCCCCTAGGTACTTGGCACTCACTCCCGGGACAGAAATTCATTGAAAAGTATCTTTAACAAAGCAATCAGAACATATGTTCCCCATTCACATTTAGTTTTTAAAGAAGATAGCTACAAAGTTAAGTACCCCTGCTGCATGGCCCAATATCTTCCACTGTCTCGACCTGACCCTCCAACCTCTTACACTAGCCTGTTTGTATGGTTACTCCTGGGGCAGTGGTTCCTGGGCCCGAGGTCAGATGGTAGAGTCGCTGCAATGCATCTTTTGGTGGCCTCCATGTGCGGACCATCTTGTCTGTACTCTAGGATGGTGGTCAACACAGAGAGCAATATTCTCATGTTCCAGTTTGAGCATATAAAGTGGCAATACTCCCTGGAAAGAAGTAAACAAAAGAAGCATAAAGAGGAGGAAAAGGAAGAAAACAGCCTCATGGACGTTCTCTCCAAGTCTAGCACTCAGTTTTACAGCCTGAGAGACTCAGCATCCAGTAAACAAACCATGACCCAGGAGTTCATATTAAGTAAACCTCACAGGTCCCGTGTTCTGCTGAAGGCAGTCAAGTTATCTTCAGGTAAAGGAGCTAAATCCTGGGCAGTTTCAGTGATAACCAATGGAGTTGGTGAGGGGGTCCCAGGAGTGCTTTCTTTGTGGGATATTTTGGCCCAATGTTTTCTTGATAATATAAATCCTAACCCTTCTGGAAGGTGAGAGCCATTCTCTTTGATACACCAAACAATTTGTTAGCCAGCTAAAGGGACTGTCCTGATTTTCAAGGCCTAGATTTTCAAACTTATTAGAATCCTTGTACAGTAGATAAGACTAGCTTTAATTCTTGCCATTACAACAAAAAACAAGCAACCAATACCCATCCTCCCCAAATCCAAACATATGTTACATAACTGTTTTCTCAGGAAAGAGACAAGAGGTTACTATAAGCAGAAAAATGTTCTATGTAGAATGTATTATCTTTAGCACTCTGAAAAAGAACGTGTGTACCTGGAAAATATTAGTTATAAAGTGTGCGTGTGTGTGTGGGGGTGGGTGGGGATGTGGGCCTGGCTCATGCCATTTATAAGACATCCAAATAATAGATTATGTGTGAGCTGAGTAGCAGGACTCCTTTCTTTTACCTGCCTTATATTTGGCATGTGAAATTGGACCCACAGATCTATAGAGAACACCAATAGATCATCCCCAAGAACATCATTCTACAAATAGCTGTCTCATGAGGAGAGGGAACCAAGAGTTTTAGATGATGCTTAAGGCTTGATAATTAGTAGGAAAAGTGGGTTGAGGGGAGTCATGATGTGATCTAGACCTTAGACTCCAGGTGACTACCAATTTTCATATGATAATAAAAAAATATGGTGATATTTTGGGTGAAAATCAGTTGGATTATCAGCACCCATTATTCCTGATTATATTATTATTATTACTATGTCCCCATTATTCAGACTTAATTGAACTTTATAATGGCTACAGTTTCTTCCTCAATCTTAATCTAGCGATGTTACCAGAGGAACCTGAAAGTCAAGAAGAGCCAAAATCACCCCAAAGAGTTGACAAGAAGAAAGCTCGTCCTGCTCGTAAGGAAGCACATGGCACAGATGGTGGGCAAGAGAGTTTGGAAGCAAAAGCTGTGGCAGGAGAAACGATCAACGGTGACACTTTGTTCTTTTTTTTTTTTTTTTGTCTTTTTCCGTGTCCGGCAACGGATCGCAACCCTCAGTGTTGCGCCCGCACCGGGCCGGGACCGGCATTGGAATCGCAACCCTCGGTGTTGCCCCCGCGCCTCGCTCAGCCAGTGAGCGGGAATCGGTCTGTATGTGGGATCCGAACCCTCGGGCGGGAGCGCCGCCGCGCTTCCCAAGCGGCGCACTTATGCAGTGCGCCACCGGGCCGGCCCAACACTTTGTTCTGAATTAGCAGCAAGACCCACTCTCTCTCCCGTTCAGTTCTGTTTTTAAGCAGGCTAATACCTTTGCTAATCTTTGCTAGTCAGAATGGCTATGATGCATGGCTCCTCCTAAGAACTGGTTTTCCTTTATTGTCCCCTTGCTAACTTGGGACCACAGAGCGAGAGCCCTCCTAAGATCTGAGTCTCCTGTTTTTGGCTGGCAGCCTGTCTCCATTCCCTGACATCCACCTGCCTCCCCTCTTGGATTGTTGTGTCATCAGTCTGAGTAATAGGCACAGAGGAAGAGAGAAGAGACATTCGAGGATGGTTTCAGAGAGAGATTTTTAGGATATTCATGAAGGAGGAGAGAGATTTTGAGGCAGATGCTATGAATGTGAGATAAGGAATAAGGGAGAGAGAGATGCGGATGGGTTTTTAAGAAGTGTTGCTGGATGTCATGACTTGAATGTCCCTTTGTTGTTTTTGAAGGCCATTGGTAAAAATTTAAAATGGCTTTCAAATAATTTTCGCTAGTACAATAGTGTTTCTTTAAATCAAATTCCCTGCAGAGACTGGTTTCAAGGTGAGGGCAAAACAATTAAGTTTTATGAGGGCTATATTAATAATGGACATCCTTGTGTATGCCTTTGCCTGTGTACCTGCACAGGTATACATGTAGGGCAAAGTCCTCAGAGTGAAACTGTTGAAAAAGTGCATTTAAAGACTAGAAAGACATTGCCATGGTTGTCCTTGAAAATGCTGTATCAACTTACACTTCCCCTAACAATGCGTGAGCGCTCCCATCGCATTCATGCCAGCTGTGGGTGTTACCCACCATTCCGTACTCGCTTATATGATAAGTAAAAATGGTATTTGCATTTCTTTAAGGTTGATCATTAGCAAACTAATGTCCATCAGTGGGTAATGACTAATTGATAAGGAAAAATCCATACTATGGAATATTATGTAATTGCTAAAAATTGTATGATAGGGATCCGTATATATTGTCTTTGAAAGAGATCCACAATATATTATCATGCAAAAAAAGACAAGTTAAGGAACAACGAGGTCATCAAAACTCCTTGTTAATAAAAGGAGAAAAATTCTGTGTTTTCTGGGTTAGAAGGAGAATGGGGAAGATTTTGACACTTTGTAAAATGAGGAGAATGCTTTCAGTATTTCTGTGAGGTATTGTAGGGACTGAAAAGCCCAAATGGGAGTGACATGATAGATTTGCTCACCCATGAAGAGATCTTTGTTAACTTAAGGAACTCAGACACTTTGGAGGTCTTTACCAGAAACTAATATGCCAGAAGGAGTCTCTTGTTCTTATCAGTCGCTTTTGGACCTGTTGCTATTGTTGAAAACATTTTGGGAACTCCTCTTTAGGAACTGCCTTTTAGTCATGTTGTGATATTCTGCATTATTTAGGGGTGACATATTCTTTGAAGGCAGGTTTGACTTTAGACATGCCCAAGATCATTTGGAATCAAACTTGATTAGTAAGGTGGAGATCAAACTTTGTGATGCAATTGTTGAAAAATATTGTAGGTATGTTATTATAACAGGAATCACATATGTTGCCTTCAAAATACGCACATCTAAGTAGCTGGTTAGCTCATGTGGTTAGAGCGCAGCCTTGTATCACCAAGGTCCAGGGTTCGGATCCCCATACGGGCCAGCCACCAAAAAAACCCCCCAACAAAGCAAAATATGCACATCTAGAAGTTAATACACACTTTATACAAGTATGACCATATTTGTTAAAAGTTAATCTTGCTAAGTCACTTCTGGTATCATTCTGATACCTTTGGGGACGTTTACCCACATGGTGATATGCCTGTTGGGCGACAAAGACCTCCGTGCGTCTAGCAGTTAGAATGGCTTTAATTTTCATGCCTAAGTACTTAATATTTTTGTTCTCTTTTTTGAAAAAGCAGATAGTGTGGAAAAAGTACAAAAACAAGGACAACTGGAAACTCCTGAAGAATCAGTCAATCGCCCAAAGAAAAAGTCCTGGAAGGTCCCTATGTTGCCTGACCAATTCCTCCTCACTGTCAATGCCCTGCAGCAAGCTCATAATTCAGGGGAATTTGCTTATCCCAGTAGGCCCCAAACCCAAGTCATTGATACCTGGGGACCTTCAATATCACACCCGAGGAAGGTCCTGAATTTCAAAGGAAAATCAGTCCAACATGCAGTTGATCAGCTGAGATTCAGCAATCCTCTCACAGATATGAAACAAACCAATATTCCTCTTGAAATCCAGAAACTGCAGCCCAACTTGAAGAACTCTTTGCACAGTCCCAGAGTCCAGTCCACCATACCCCAGCCCATGATTATCCGCTCCAGGCTCTCTGATAGCTTTAAAGGGAAAGACCAAGTGGCCAGTTCAATTGAAGGGGCAGTACGCAGAATGGGACCCCTGACCAGTAGGCAGGTCATTAAACCGAACCGCATGCTCGCTCCACAAGTGGGGATGGCCACCCTGTCTCTCAAGAAAGAAAGGCCTCACTTCTACACGACCCTTGATCCCCTTAGATTGAACTCCGGGTTCATGCTGTTGACCGTGAAGGACGAGCAAGAGTACAGGGAAGCCAAGATGAAGGAATATCAGGCTAGTGAGTCCACTGCAGTGGCCGATCCAGGAAAAGCCAGCAAAGCCGCATGGATCCGGAAGATCAAAGGCCTGCCTCTTGATAACTTCACCAAGCGAGGGAAAACAGCAGCCCCTGAACTTGGACAAAATGTATTTATCTAAACCAGCCTTGGGAAGTTATGATGTCTTACAATAAATAGAAAACCAAGTGGATGTTGGTGTATGGCTTTTTTTTTTTTTTTTGACAGTTCCCTGGTAATGGTAATTAACATGAGAACTCCTAATTATCTTTCTATGAGCCAAAGAATTGATATTATCAAAGTAAGAAAACAGAAAGAGGCTGGGAGAGAATGGCATCTGTATTCCCACCATTCAGCGAAGATTTAGGAAAGCCCAGTTTCATTGATGGGAGACAGACAGGTGGTCATTGGAAATTTCATGTCACTCATCACTACCAGTTTAGTGCTATCATTTCTTCCAGCAAATGAAGTGTTGGGATTATATCAGGATAATGCATTCGAATTTCCTGGTATTTTTGCATAGAAGCCTGATTAAACGCAGTGAGTTCAGCTAAGAATCATTTTTTCAATGCTGCTAAGAGGGGAAGCCCTCAACAGGGTTGACCTGTTGTATTTGAGAATGTTTTGTGCACTTTTCCTTCTCAGGGCTAACTCATATGAAAAGAAAATGAAGCATATCCGTTCTCTCTACAAAGATGGCCACTAATATCGAGTGTCTTCTGGTTTCTACCTAAACCTTTGGAGAAGAGTGTCAGGGACCAGGCAGGTAACTTAGAAGACTGCAGCCCACTACGGGTGGCAATGGACCATTGGAGAGCTCAAGCCTCATGCAAAAGCGATAGCTTCTACTCAGTGGCTCAGCATGGCCAGATCTTTTGCTTCTTCAAAAAAAAAAAAAAAGCCAGAAACTCAGATTTTTCTGTGAAATACCCTAAGTTAAAGGATGGTAATGAATTCAAGCGTAATGCACAAGCAAAGCAAAAACAATAAAAAGACAACTCCACAAATCCCCACAACCCTGGGTGGGCCACTGAAAACATGCCATGGGCAGGCTAGATGAATGGGCCCTCTATTGGCGGCTTCAGCTTCTCACCTCTAAGTGCACGAACGCAATTGCTTTGCCAAGCTTAATCTCCTTTGAGAAATGTGGGTTTTTTCCCCCTTCATTGTCAAGATATTAGGTTTAAGAGAGTATTGGCAAGGGCCAGCCCCGTGGTGCACTCGGGAGAGTGCAGTGCTTGGGTGCGCAGCAGTGCTCCCGTCCAGGGTTCGGATCCTATATAGGGATGGCCGGTGCGCTCACTGGCTGAGCGCCGTGCGGAGGCTAGATGAATGGGCCCTCTATTGGCGGCTTCAGCTTCTCACCTCTAAGTGCACGAACGCAATTGCTTTGCCAAGCTTAATCTCCTTTGAGAAATATGGGTTTTTTCCCCCTTCATTATCAAGATATTAGGTTTAAGAGAGTACTGGCAAGGGCCAGCCCCGTGGTGCACTTGGGAGAGTGCAGTGCTTGGGTGCGCAGCAGTGCTCCCGTCCCGGGTTCGGATCCTATATAGGGATGGCCGGTGTGCTCACTGGCTGAGCGCCGTGCGGACGACACCAAGCCCCCTCAATTCAGAAATGCACGAATACACATTATTCCACCAGCCTTCCAACTGCAGTCAGACGTTAGGCCAGGCAGATAGGATGCTGTTATCATCACAGTTTCAAAGTTGATTTAAAGCCCCTGAATTTCAGGTCTTTCCTCCAGGAACAATCGTGCAAAAAAGGAAAAAAAAAAAAAAAAAAAAAAAAAAAAAAAAAGAGAGAGTACTGGCAAATAGCCATGCAAAAATCTGTGATTTTAATGGAAAGAATCCCCTCAATTCAGAAATGCACGAATACACATTATTCCACCAGCCTTCCAACTGCAGTCAGACAGGATACTGTTAGGCCAGGCAGATAGGATACTGTTATCATCACAGTTTCAAAGTTGATTTAAAGCCCCTGAATTTCAGGTCTTTCCTCCAGGAACAATCATGCCATTAGCAGCCAGATAGTAAGAATAGCGTCTCTCGTTTATTAGATACTCTGCAAGGATACCATTGTCACCCCCACTTTACGACTGAGGAGAGAAGTACATGAGGTGCCCAAACTCCAGGACACACGGTCTCAACCCTGTTCCCTGCTGTTCACTGGCCTCTAAGGTTGTATTCCTCTCCTAGTAACACCCTCCAGTGCTTGTTCTAGAGTTCTCTTCCCTTGTTCTTCTTAATAACCTTTTATCCCTTCGCAAGAGCACGTTCATTTTTCCAACTGCTCCTAAAATTTAAAGAGCAAAAGTAATACTGTATAGGAATATATGTCGTTGTAAAACATTCAAACAAAATTAAACTATGAAATAATGAAGTCCCGCCCCCACCACTTAGGGAATCGACGCAGGCGGGAAACGTCTTTACAGTTTGCACCTCGTAAACAGCAAACATTTCCGCGTTACCAAACCACGAAGCTCACCCCTCAGAGCTGACGGTGGCACTGAGTCCCTTCCCCTCCTCTTTCTCGAGCCCACCTGGACTGTCCTCCGCCCTCTCCGGGTCTGCACTTCCCGCCCCGCCTTCGGATGGCCCCGCCCACGCCCCGCCCCCACGCTCGCCCCGCCCCGGATCTTCCAGCCCCCGCGCTCGTCCTGCCTTCGGATCGCCCCTCCCNCTTCTCCCGCGAGGCACCGAGCGGAAGTGGGGCCGGGCTGGGGTCGTCCGTTGGGCTCTGCGGGCCTGTGGTGACGAGGTCGCGTCAGTTTCAAGTCGGGACCGCTCCGCTGCCGCGCTGACGTGGCTCCCGGAAGTGGGGCTGGCGTAGGGCCGCCATGTTGCAGCAGGTGAGGCGTTGTGGGCGCCGGGAGGGGGCTGTGGCGTTTGGGTGCCCGGCCTGCAGGGTCCGTGAGGCGCGACTCCAGCGTCCCAAGGCCGGGGTCGGCAGAGGGGAGAGGAGGACCGTGCGCGGGCAGAGTCCGGGGAGGGCAGCTGGGCGCTCCGAGGCCTCTGGTGGCGCTGACCCAGGCGACGCTGAGCAGGGACAGCTGGCGGGGGCGGGATCCGCGCTGGGGTGCAGAAGCGCCCTCGAGTGTGAAGTTGTTGGAGTGGTCTCACGTTTTTCAGCCCTCGCGCCGGGAGGAAGGGGGCGGCCTGCGGGCATCTCTCAGCTGCTCCTAGCCTGACCCCCAGGGGTGCGCCGCGGTCTTGTAGGAATAGGAGACATCGCCACAGCCCCTGCAGTCGACTTGCTGTCATCGAACTACGTTGGGGGTCACGATCACGAGTGTGCCCTTGGAGTTATTTGTAGATGACTAATTTAATAATCTCTTTTTAAGATTTTTTTACTGTTTATAGTAGAGTTTGACTTAGGCTATCGTAAGCATTTTTTAATTTCGTTTTACAAGTAATTTATGGAGGGGTTACTATGGCCTAGCCACTGTTCAAGTCCCAGGGATAGGGCTGTGAACAGTACAGACAGGTTTCTTACCCTGAACTGTCAGGTTGGGTGGTGGTGGGTTCTGTATAGGGGGTGGGGTCGGGAGACATGATAAATTACATAAATAAGGATATTTGCAGAGAGTAATGGCAAAGACATGGTGATGAAATAGTGTCTGAGGATAGAAAACTAGAATTTTTGGTCAGAAAAGACCATTGTGAGGAGGTGACTTGAGTGGAGAAAATCCAATAGTGGTTATATTCAGCTCTGAACCTGCCACCTAGGCTGAATGAGTCTGGAGAAAAACACACAAACATTCTAACTGTTCACACTTATAAGTTCATGTCCGCGAACCTTCCTTAAGTGAGCCCTTATTACTGCCAGGTAATCATCTCCACACTTCCATAGTCTCTTTACTCTCCCACCTTCTTAGGGAACTCTTAAAACTTCATTCTTCTCAAACCTTCAACATTTCTTTCCTTATCCTCTCTCAGCTGATAACCTTTTTTCACTGGGAAATGGAAGCCGTTAGAGAATAATTTTCACACCACCTGCCTACCTATCTGCAACTTTGTCCGTAATCTTCCATACATTCTTTTACTGAGATTGAACAGTCTGTGCTCCATTCTTAGGCCATCCCTGCTACCTGTGCACTGGCATTCACCCCCTCTTGCCTACTGGAAGGCAATGTCCCAGCAATTTTTTTTCCTTCATTGCCCTTTTTTTTTTCCTTTTAAAAGTCTTGCTCACATCAGCATAGCAACATGCTTTAATTTCTCCTATTAAAAAAAAAAAAAATCCAAAAACTCAACCCCACATGCCCTTTCAGCTGTCACTTCATTCTTTGTTCTTTGAAATACTNCAAAAACTCAACCCCACATGCCCTTTCAGCTGTCACTTCATTCTTTGTTCTTTGAAATACTTGTCTGTGCTTGTCTCTTAATTCTTCTGTTCTCTACTGTAGCTGTTCTAGTCAGGCTTTCTCTGCCTCTCTCTGCTATACTAAAACTACTTTCACTGTGATTACTGATGCTCTGTTAAAAATAGGGTGGTCACTTTTTGGTTTTCATCTTATTTGTGAGCTGCATTTGGCACAGTTGATGGGATTCTTCTCCTGGAAACACTTCACATGGCTTCCAGGACATTACCCTCTCATGGTTCACCTCCCAATCCTTGGCACTTCTTTTTCAGTCCCCACTGCTTATTCCTTCAAATCTTTCTGACCTCTAAATATTGGAGTACCCAGAGTCTGTCTTTGGTATCTTTATCCTTTTAGCTGCTCAGGACAAAAATTTGGGAATCTTCTTTGACTCTTTTTCTCTGACCTCCACATTCAACCCGTTAACAAATCCCATCAGTTCTACCTTAATATGTATTTGGATTCTGTCTACTTTTTACCCACTGTATCCACCCTGGACCAATCCATTATTTCTTGGCTTCATTATTGAAGTAGCTTCCTAACCAGTCTCCTAGCTTTGTGTCTTCCCCAACCCCTTCCTACCCTCTAGATTCTTAATACAATGAGTCAGAATTTGTCAGTCCTATGCTCAG